TTGGGTTCAGTTTGCATCACTACACTTTGTATATCAGAGGCAAAATCTATCATTGAAGCTATGCTTCAGCCGGATCTACATGACTCCATATCCCACTAAACCTTGTAAAAAGGAATACGTTTGGAGGGGCTAAAGAATCAGGAAAGGAGGCTGGGGAAATGGCTCAGTGAGTAAAGTGCTTGCCCTGCAAGTATAAAGACCTGAATTTGGTTCCCCAGCCCCTGTGTAAAAAAGCCAGGCATGGCAGTGTGCACCTGTAAGCTCAGCCAGAGGCAGACAGGAGTTAACTAACCACAGTCCTTATAGCCTATAGCCTTTTGCTAAGTTAAGTAGCCAGCTAACTCATTCACATTGATCTGCTATTGCTTCAAATCTGAAAAAGATGAAAGCAACTTATCAAAGGAGCCTCTCCCAAAGCTTACTATACTCCTGGCACACCAGTTATCCCTAATTAGGTATTTTGGAAATAGCCCAAGTAAATCTGTTAATTTAATCAAAGTTAAACACATTTCTTTGCTGCAATATTTCTTAGCAGCTTTCTTCCTCCAGTGCTGGGATCGAACCCAGAGCCTTGAGGAATGGTAAACAAGTACTCTGCCACTGAGTTACAGTTTTACTCCATGGTATTTTTGAGACAGAGTCTTGCCATGTCATCTATGCTGGCTTCAAACTTACAGTCCCACCTCTGCTTCCCAGGTGTTTAGATGACAGGCATACACATCATACCAGGCTTCCTAGAGGCTTTGGTATGGCGTTTTAAGGGGATATTATAGAGATGTCCAAACCCACGTGATTATACAAATCATTCTTTGAAAAGAATCCCAGGGGATGGGTGTTCTACAGAGTACATCTTGAGAGCACTGGGGGAAGAAGGCAGTATTCTCTGAGTATTATAATTGGTGACTATAATTGTACTACCCCGAAGGTTAGACAATATGAAAAACAAATGGCCAAATTTGGTTTGAAATATGGAAGTTTCATAGTATGTGTGTATTCAATATTGCTACTATGCCTTTTCCACTCTCTATATTAGACCACTTTCTGCTACTATGACAAAATATCTGAGGCTGGACGCAGAACAAAGGAAAGCAGTTCATCTAGCTCAGTTTTGGAGACTGAAAGTCCAAGCAGCATAACACTAGGTTTAATGAAGGCCCCTTTGGCTGGTCAGTGACATCTTGGTGGCAGCATGTGTGAGAGGAAGACATCATATAGCCAAACAAGGTCCCAGAAAGCTGGGAGTGGCCAGGCTCGTTCTTTTTGTAAGAACTTACTTGCATGAAACTAACTGGGGTTCCATGAGACAGTACTTTTTAAAATTTTCTATTTTAAATTTTCATTTCATGAATTTATTCATGGGGGAGGGACACACCACAGTACACAGATAGAGGTCAGAGGGCAATTAGTAAGAACCAATGCTCTCTTTACACCATGTGGATCCTAGGAATCAAACTTAGGTTACCAGGTTTGGCAGCAGGTACTTTTACCACAGAGCCATCTTGCAGACCCTCCGTGAGAAATTACTTGATCCCTCCCAAGGATGATTCATCCAATGACCCAATAACTTTACTCTATAGATGCCACCTTTTAGAAGCCCAACACCTCTTACCAATTACACTGGTGGAGCCGGTTGAAACTGGTGGTGTCAACACAAGAAGGACAGACCATAGCACCTTATATCATATAAATGTATTTTATAGAAAGAAATCAAAATTTATATTCTGCTTAACACCTTTAATTTTTGTTTGTTTGTTTGTTTTGTTTTTCGAGACAGGGTTTCTCTGTGTAGCTTTGGAGCCTATCCTGGCACTCGCTCTGGAGACCAGCCTGGCCTCGAACTCACAGAGATCCGCCTGCCTCTCCTCCTGAGTGTTGGGATTAAAGGCGTGTGCCACCACTACCCGGCCCCTTTAATTTTTTTTAAGACTTATTTACTTATTTATTATGTATACAGTGTTCTGCCTGCAGCATATATCCCTGCAGTTCAGAAGAGGGCACCAGACTACATTACAGATGGTTGGGAGCCACCATATGGTTGCTAGGAATTGAACTCAGGACCTTTGGGAGAACGGGCAGTGCTCTTAACCCCTGAGCCATCTCTCCAGCCTCCCACCTTTAATATTTTTAACCCTTCCTATAAACTTACTAATACTGTATGGCTCCTGGTGTGATATCGCACATCTTCAATCCCAGCTCTTTAGAGGCAGAGGCAGCTACCCTTTGAGTTCAAGGCCAGCCTGGTCTATATAGTGGGTTCTGAGAGAGAGAGAGAGAGAGAGAGAGAGAGAGAGAGAGAGAGAGAGAGAGAGTCTCAAACAAACACTGCATTAAACACTGTTTTTATTTCCTGCTAAACTTTCCCTACTACAATTAAAAATTATAATTTTTAGTGGTATTGCTAGTTCCCCTCTAACATTCACAATTCTAGACTCCCTTTCCCTACTTCCTAGACACACAGTGGCCTTTACTAGGAATCCTAAGTAATGTATAAACCAAATCAATACCCCTGATTTTATTATTTTATTTTTTTATACAGGGTCTCACTGTGTAGCACTTGGTTGGCCCACAACTTGGTTGGCTAGAACTCAGAGACTTGTTTACCTCTCCTTCCCAAATACTGGGATTAAAGGCTTGTATTACCATGCCCAGTGTTGTTCCCCTTTGAGACAAGTCTGGTTGTGTAGTCTGTGTTGGCTACACAAGATCCTCCTGCTTCAACCTTGGAGAGATAGGCAAGTGTCATCATACTCAGCTGATCTTGTCCCATTTTGTTTTCAAGTGGTTAAAATCCACTAGAATGTTAACTTAAATACTGAAAGGAAAACTAGTTATGATAATTACCAGCTGGACATTTCATTGTTCTGTAATATATTTGTTTATGCTTTCAAACTACATCATGAGCTCTCTAAAGTAAGCTCCTCTTTTGCTTTATGACTAATGACCAATAAATCTTCTAATAAAATAGTTCCCACAAATTCCTCAGGGGCTGATTGCAATGACAGGCATATAGGTCCAAATACCCTTGAATGTAAGAAAACATGCCAGGAGATCCATGATTCAAAATAAATATCTGCATTTCTAGAAGATGTGAGATGATTTAATCATAATTCTGTTGAATGCAGTTTTATGGTGAAGTATTTTGCTAAATGCTAGAAAGGCAAGTATTGTAGGTAGCTACTGAAATATGTATTTACGAATATATCATTGGTAAAGAGCCAAGCAAAACAAAGTATGACTCATTGTAAACATTCTCCAACTGTCCTTGCATTATTATGGGGGCAGTTACTGGGTGGTTTTAATAATGTATATATAAAATGAATTGCTATTTATATTCTTCTCAAAGGCATTACAAAACTGTCAACTATCAAAGGTCTTTGCATTCTAACAGATTAATGATCCTTTATTTTCCTGTCAATAGGTTGAGGAATTACTTTTAAGTAAATAGTCGTGGAAGATTTTACTACCTTTAGGGCAGAGCAAGCACTCCCGGTAAATGCCCCCCCCCCTTGAAATATCTCAAATTTCAACCCTGAGTAAGATCACAAATGGAAGACGCTGTAGCCCACCTCAAAAGAGTGGTTGAACCGGAAAGAATCTTAGAAATCATGGGGATATCTTCATTTTACAGATGAGGCATAGCAAGTTTTATAAACTGTTTCAATCAGAGGAGGCTGATTGAAAAGGGAACACAAATGTCTTCATGGAATCCTAAACAAAATAAAAAACCTTTAACACCTGTGAAAGCTAGGCTTACCACACAAAAGTAAGAAAACTAATATACAAGCAAGCAAGGCAGTTCCCTTATTATCTCTGTGAATTAGTGTCAGACCCAGGAATGGAAGCCAAAATTTTCAGTGTTGGACTTTCTACAGATGTAGGCTGCACTCATCCGGAATGGATGCTGGTTGGGAGTAGGGGAAGCCATGTTTGGGAAGTTCCTTAATGGAGTTCTTTATTTCACAAGCAGAGTACGTACTGAGAGATGTGAAAATGCTTGCCTACAGGAGTTCGGTTGATCGGGTGATTTTCAAGAAACGAAACAGTACATTACCAATTTCCTTACCTCGCTGTAAAATAAAGCACTCTTCCATCCCAGAAACTGTAAATACCCTTTAAATGCGATATGATCTCAAATATCCAAGGAATTCAGTTCCTGTAACGTCAGTCCTCTTTGTACAATCTTTCAGGTTCCTCAGTGGACATTTAGAATGAGACTATTTACTTGAGACCCTCTTTCTCCATTTAGAAAAGTATTTTCTCTTGTTATCATGCCGGAACGTTAAGTACCGATCAATGAAATAAAGGGAAAGTTGCAGACAAACCTCAATATTATCTTTTTTACATCAAAACACCAAAGATGACAAACTTTTAAAGGCAACTTCACCCTACAAACACACACACACACACACACACACACACACACACACACACACACAGTTGTGTCGGTGACTCCGAATCTGCATTTAGTTGTTTTCCAGAACCTACTCCCAAGGGTCATGACCCAGTATTTTCTGATGACCACACTTGGTGCTGTCAGATGTTCAAACCAATTACCGCATGCATCTCTCTGTGAACCGTACTGAGGGAGCCCAGGCCACAACCCCGGCTGGACTTCTGCTTGCTGAGAACTAAAGATTTATCACAGACCAGGGAACCCCACTAGGCGTTTCTCCTGGCCCGAAAGAGGCTTGGTCAAGGCTGAAGAGGGGAAGCTAGGAGGAAGGTCGTTGAATAAGGGCGTGTGTGCGAAGTCGAGTTTCGGGAGAAGGCAGCGGTGGACCTAAAGGGACCCAAATGCCTAGAGGAGCAGATAGAGCTGGGGAAGACTAGGCGACCCTGGTTCGGACGGGGAAGGAAACAGAAAGGGAAAGGGGCAGGAATCCGCGCTAAAGAAAGAAGAAACTGCGGAGGAGGAAGTAGCCCCTGGAAGGGGAGGGGCGAAGGGGAAGCGAGCACTGAGCGCTAGCACTTTCGAGAGCTCGTAGCTGGTGCCTCCCTACCTGAAGCGCTCCTGCCCTGCGGTGTCCCAGAGCTGCAGCTTGATCCTCTTGCCAGGCTCAATCTCCAGCAGGCGCGAGAAGAAGTCGACTCCAACCGTGGGGTCGCAGGCAGGGGAGCGCAGCCCTGGGAAGCGGCCCTGGGTGAAGCGGTGCAGGAGGCACGACTTGCCCACCGTGGAGTCCCCGATCACGATGAGGCGGAACTGGTAGATCCAGATAGTCTCCATGGCCTATGTGCCCCGCGCGTTCAGGGGCAAGTTCTGCCACGGGAACTGTCCCTTCAGCACCTCCGCGGTGCGCGCCCGCTGGCTTCCAGCATCTTCCTGCGGCGGGGGGGGCCGCCTGGTCCCCGCCCTCTGGGTAGGGAGGGGCGGGACCGCGGGCAGGGGGCGGGGACCTGTTCTGCCTGGGGTGGGGCTTGAGGATAAGGGCGGGGCCACAAGTTAGGGCGGGACGGCAGGTAGAAGTGTTTTCAAGAGCTGGAGGAGGGGATCTAACTTGCAGAGGTGTTGTCTCGGGCTGAGGGTGGGGCCCCAACCATAAGGGGAGGGAACTGACGTTCTGGGGACCGGTCCTCGAGCCTACGGGGCTGCGGGCTCTCGGACGAGGGGAGCGTGGCGAGAGCCTCCGCCTAGGATGTGGGGAAATGGGAGACCGCCAGACTACTGTAAGGCACTCTAGTCCAGCTCTTGCTGGAAGCGGCCCAGGAAGTGGGTGTGGCGAAAGGAGGTGACAGCAATAGTAACCAACGAAAATGTATTGGAGATCTAAACGCCAGAAAGTTCAGCCAATGGGAAGTGAGAGTCATTTTCTCTCACGCATCTCGGTGGGCCCCTCATAATAGGACTCTGATCTCGGAAGTAGGCAAGGCGCTAAGGTGTTTCTGTGTGTGGATTCGTGGTGTCCTGGTTTTCGGAAGACCTCAGTTAGCGACTCTCTGCTGAAGGAAACAAATTTGCAGACCTGGTTCTGGTTGTTTCTGTTTAGGACTGCCTGTTGCTTTTTGCCACAGCGTTTTCAGGATTAGACAAGTAAGAGAAACGTCCAGTTCTAGTCCTATGCTCGTGGGGCTCTCCAGCCCGGGAAAAAGGTGAAATGTTGAGACGCTCATACAAGTCATCATTATCCTCTGCCCAAAGCTGCTCTCCGCTTGCGTATGGCCAATCTACTAAATGAAGCAGAACTTAACTTTTGGTGAGATCTTATTATGTTCTCATCCCTTCCCTCAGGTTTGATGATAGCTAATTCAAAAGTTCTCTTCTTGCTCAGTTGATACAGTTGTTTAGCAACATGAAACCCTGGGTCCAGCCCCCAGCTCCATATAAACCAGTGTGGTGGCCCACAGCTATAATGCCAGCACGTGGGCGCATGATGACCGAGTTATAGGCCGATTTAGCTTTTAAAGGTCAAATCAAAGTTCAACAGCTTTAAGGTGTGCATTTATTAAGCCAAAATTTGTGACTAGAAAGTTCTATAGCTCATTGGGCAATGGTTTTCCCCAACCATTTCGTTCTTTTCTTGCATATGTCTAACAATTGCTACTCATCCTTAATTCCTTTCCTGTTTTAGAGAAAGAAGCATCACTTTCAAAGAGGCATTCTTTTCTCTGCCATGCATCTTTAGGGGGATTTCACTCCCATTAATGGGTCTTTATTTTATGTGATGTGTATCTTGTCCCCCTTCTAGTGTTGTTTCTACTCCTCGGTCTACAAATGCGTTCGAGTATTCACAGTCTTAAAACTAATCAGAGCCCTCTCCATGATGCGCCTTCAGCTCTGCCCCCTCCATCATTCTCCCTTTCACGTATCCAAAGAGCAATCTATCCTCATTTCTCATTCACAAGGCCATCTTTAACAAGCCTTCATATACTTTGAGCCTCATACATTCATCACATAATTGCTTCAGATAAGTCCGCCTGAGACCCCCTAATTGTCAAACCCAGCTTCCCTTCCCCATCATCCTCACCTCTGACCCCACCATTCTCCCTGAACTCTGAGGACCCCTCCAATTAAGGGTAGCCACCTGACAGTTATGACCTCTGAGACATGAGGGCTTTTTTTTTAAGTATTTTTTTCTTTATGTGAGAGCATGGCAACTCTTTTGTGTATATTTTTCTCCTTCTCCTCTTCTTCATGATATGGATGTTTTGTCTGCTTTACAACTGTGCACCATTTGGGGGCTTGGTGCAGACAGAGCTGGGCGATGGTTGCACATGCCTTTAATTCCAGCACTCAGGAGGCAGAGGCAGGTGGATCTCTATGAGTTCAAGGCCAATCTGGTCTACAGAGTGAGTTCCAGGACAACAAGGGCTGTTACACAGAGTAACCCTGTCTCACTGCACCCCCTAAACAAACAAACAAAAAAGAAGAGTGCAACAGGTTTCAAGCTGAAATGTGGGTGCTGGGTATTGAACCTAGGTCCTCTGGAAAAGGAGCCAGTGCTTTGAACCACTGAGCCATCTCCATGGCTGCTATTCTTTCAATCTTCTTTCCTTTTTCTTCCTACCTGGAATATGTTATAACAATCATCTTGTGATTTTAAAAATGAAGCTCTAGATGCTAAAGATGGTAGTGAGAAAGTGAGAAAGATACTTGTTCCCACGTGACTTTGTTGATCTGTGGTGCGAACTATGTAATAGACAAATAAATCAATACCCATTAAACTATTGGTGAATGACCTCCTTTTCCTTCCCTTTTAAAAAAATCTCTCTGTTAGGCATCCCTGCCTGTCCTAGAACTTACTATGTAGATCAGAATGGCCTTGAACTCAAAGAGATCTACCTGCCTTGTCATCCAAGTGCTGGGTCTAAAGGCTTGTGTCACCATACCCAGCCTGGCTGAGATGGGGGATGTCCTTCTATATATATGTTTCTCTTATTGGTTGATGAATAAAACACTGTTTGGCCAATAGAGGCAGGAAGATAGGTGGGACTAAGAGTCAAATTCTGGGAAAGGTAGGCAGAGAGAGACCTCGAGGAGACACCATGTAGAGACCAGGAAGATAGGACATGCCAGACATTCTCTGATAAGATAAGGCAAAGTAGAAATACATAAATTAGTAGTTATGAGTTAATAATCAAGAGAGAAGCGGGGCGTTGGTGGCGCACGCCTTTAATCCCAGCACTCAGGAGGCAGAGACAGGTGGAGTTCTATGAGTTCCAGGTCACCCTGGTCTACAGAGTAAATTCCAGGACAGGCTTCAAAGGTACAGAGAAACCCTGTTTCACAAATCCAAAACAAACAAACAAACAAAAACAAAAAAACAAACTCCAGAGGATGATAAAAAGATTAATATACTAATACCAAAGATAAAGCATATGGAGTTGGTTTACTTTTCTTCTTCCTCCTCCTCCTCCTCCTCCTCCTCCTCCTCCTCCTCCTCCTTCTCCTCTTACTGCTGCTCCTTGTTCTTCTTCCAGCAGAATCCACAGGTAGGAATGCTGCTGGCATCTGAAAGGCATTAGTCTATAGCTGCTGTAGCATTCCTATTAGGTGTCTCCACACATAACAGACTGATTTCTGTTTCTCTATAAAATAATTTAGTTGGTTTGGTCCAGAACAGGTGTTCATACATGCTATAACTGGACCTTGGATGAACCTCAGAACTCCACATATTAAAGTTTTGGTCCTCATTTTAGCATTGCTGGGAGGTGATAGAAAAGTCTTTAGGTTACCAGAGGACATGACTTCCAAGACAGTTGTGGTTATGGTGAAGCAAGGGAGATGGCTCAGTGGGTAAGTGCTTGTTGCTTGAATAAGGACTTTGGTTCTCCATATGGTTATGACAGCATATACCTGTAACACAAATGTGGGTGAAACTAAGGGTGGTGTGTGTGTGTGTGTGTGTGTGTGTGTGTGTGTGTGTGTGCTGGGGTGTTGGAAACAGTCCTTGTGTTATTACATCTGCAACCTAGCCAGGAGAGGCTGACTGATACAAGACATGCTGTTCTTTCCATTATATATATTTTACATTTATTTAATTTTATGAGTATGATTGTTTTGCCTTTGTTTATGTATGGCACCATGTACATGTCAGGCTCACAGAGGTCAGAAAAGGGTGTCAGATCCCCTGGGACTGAAGTTACTTATTTTGTGAGCCATCAAATGGGTGCTGAGAATCAAGTCTGGGTCCTCTACAAGAGCAACAAGTGCTCTTAGCCACTGAGTCAACTCTCCAGCCTCATGTTGTAGTTTTTATTTCAAGACACTTACTGGTTTCTTTATTATTTTGTGGGTATGTGCATGCCAGGAGGCTGTTCTCTCCTGTGGGATCTGGGAATTGAATTCAGGTGCTCAGATTTATATGGCAAATCTTTACCCATTGAGCCATCCCATCAGCCCTCGGTATCGTTTCCTCTTTGAAATATTTTCTAGAGGCTTTTTATACATTAAAGTACATGGATTAACTTGGTCATGAATTTGCTGTCAAAACTGGAACTTTCTGCAGTGGTTCCCACTGAGAATCTGGAGAGAGGCCATTGAGGGATCTGTGTGAAGTGATTGTAACCTCTTGTTTCTTATAGAGACATTAAACTAGAACCAAAACTCTGATTTGAACTGGTTCTGGATCTCATCTAACTACCTAGCATTTGACAGAGAGCTTGTTAGAGTTTACAACATATAGGAAACAAAATAATTTCACAAAATTAAAGTCAGATTTGAATATGTGTTCATGTTCTTTGCAATATTCTGAAAACTGTAATTGTTTTCTGAAGAATTTCTTTTCTCTCTTTCTCTTAAAAATTATTTATTAAGCCTGATGCACAAACTAACTTAGTAGAGCCTATTCTATATGGAGAGATCCCTTGCCCAGCCTAGACACAGAGGTGTGGGGGTGGAGAGGTGACTTGATCCTGCCTCAACTAGATGATGGGACAGACTTAGTAGACTTCCTAGGGGAGGCCTTACCCTTTCCGTGGAGCAGATGGGAGGAGGGGGGAGTGGAGGAAGTGGGAGGAGAGGAGGGAGGGAGAACTGGGATTGGAATGTAAAAAATAAATTAATAATAAAAATTCGACTATATAAAAATTATTTATTAAGCTTGGTAGTGGTGTGCATGCCTTTAATCCCAGCACTCAGGAGGCAGAAGTAGGTGGATCTCTGAGTTCACGGCCATCCTGGTCTGTAGAGAGAGTTTCAAGACAGAGAAACCCTGTCTCAATAAACCAATTTATTTATTTAGAGAAAAGCTTTCACTATGTTTCCCTGTTTGGCCTGGGACGTTGAAG